TATGCTAAAAAACAAAACTTCCTTTATGATACTTCCAAGAGGCAGATGTTAATTAGGTATTAATGAACTCAGGGAGCATCATCAAGGCGCCAGCCATCCCCAGGGTCGATCATATCTTTCCTCACCCCACACCAGTTGGCAGAGTCAAGTCTTCAATTCCCTCCAAAAAATTGGGAGGGTAGGAGCCCACCTGACCTCTGGGGGGAGAATATTCCATAGGGTAGGGGCAACGGCAGAGAAGGCTCTCCTCCTAGGACCCGCCAGTCGACATTCTCTCACTGACGGGACCCGCAACATGCCCTGTCTGCCAGACCAGGTGGGACGGGTGGATGTAATGGGGGTGAGATTATTTTGTTTTAATTGTGAGCCACCCAGAGTCATGTACAGTATATGAGATGGATGCCCTACTGTATTAAATCAATAAATCTGTGTATTTATGAACATTTTGGATAAAGAAATCCATTCCTACAACTTCCCACATTATCATGCCTTCTACAAATTATACGCATTGTTGGGGTGGAGGAGGGGAGTGTAGTCACATTGGTCAATGTTACTTGTAAGGTTTTCCTTGATTATAAATACATTCTCATATCACCAAAATGTTTACGTGGAAGTTTGATTCTTAATGCATGCCATGAATGCTTGGGCTGCACTTCCATATACTCTGGACTGGTGGATAGAGGCCACAAGATTTTAAAGACTTTTTTTCTTCCAAGGGAAAGGAAAAAGATTTGTCCTGAGATGGGAAAATACAGCCTCAGGCCATACGTCCCTCCTTTTCTGATTTTGGAAAGAATGTATCTTTTGCATCCCAAATCTGCCTGCTGATCGAAAGAGCTGGAACTGGTGTTCCTCTCCTGTCGATTTCCATGGGAGGGGGAATACTTGTCAGGGGAGGGGGCTCAACAAATATAAGTCTTCCTTCCCCTCTTTGCCTGCCAGGTCTACGCTGGTGGCGATGCCATTTTTATAGCCATTCCAAACAAGGCTTTTGAAGTTCCTCACAAATGCAAGTGCAGACTTTTGGCAAGCTCCTGCTTGGCACAAACACAATGAATAGTTGTTGATTTCTGCAGAGTCGGGTTTTTGGAGACAATCATAACAAGAACTACTGCTTTTTCTCTACTGAGAGAGAAACGCAAAGTGTTCATAGCCACTTTTTCCTAAACAGCTGTTATTTTGTTCAGTATTGTGTACATAGCTTTATATATTTATCTACTGGAATTGTGGCTATTGTAATTTTGGGGTTCGGCTGGAAAAATATGAATACAAACTAACAGCAGGAACTGATTCAGTGGACAGAAGAATATGGATCCTTACTGCTAATGCAGGGTTCTAGAGTCTCTAAACAAATAAATGGAGTATGAGAACGAACAGGAAGAAAGAGAAGTTTGATGGAAGAAAACAAATACAATTTAGTAGGCATTGGCTGTCACCTCAAATACTGTTATGGTGCCTCACTGTGGTGGGGGGGCAGGATGGGTGTTCCTGGGAGGGATAAGCAAAGAACACAGAGAACACTGGAAGGGTCCACCAAGAGCATATATTCCCAGCAGGGTCACGCAAGGCACAAAGGTCATCCCAGCTGCCCAGCTAAAGCAAGCAGGCGCTTATATTGGGCAGCAGTGACATAAGAAGATGCCAGAGACAGATGATCACTTTAGCAACAACGACAAAAGAATCAATTCATATTGCTCAGGAGGAGTCAATGGCAAACCAAGAATAACTCATGGATAGACAAGGTGAAGTGATGGGCCCCTCAAGTTGGATGATACTCAACATGCTATTGAGGAAAAGCTGAGGATCTTTCAGAATACTACTGGTGTTTATAACATGGCTAGATAAAAGCTTTTGGGATGTCTAGTTCCTGAAGCTGCATCCAAAGCTGCAAAGACAGAATTACAGTGGGAACATGGAACTTAAGAAGCATGAACATGAAAAAGATGAACACTGTGAAAGATGAAATGAATTGACTATACAAGGTCACGTTCAACTGAAACTTGACAGAACGTTTAAGCAAGATCTGCTTGTGATTGGAGACTGTAATGCCAGGGAGACTTCCGGTGTGTCAGATTCAGCCAGCACGGCACAGCATGGTGAAGGCACCGCTCAGCTTCGCCTAAGTCAATTTCACCGCCTGGGCGCTAGCCGAGGAAAAGGGGAAGTGAAACCGTGAGCTGATGACGGACAGGGGGCGGCGCTTCACTCAACCTGCAAGCGGGTACTTTGTATCAGCACCGGCTGCCCTCAAGCGCTGCAGACAAAGGGGAGCGCAGAGGCTCGGAAGCAAAGCAATCAGCGAGCGATCGGGAACTCCTGGCTTTGCGCACAAACAGGCAACCCCAACAAAGGTAACAACAGCACAACCCATAGACGGCAATCAGAAAGACAAAAGCACCGGACTGAATCTGCCATTTGGGCGAGGGGGGATTACTGCAGGTAATCAGTAACCGAGCAACGGGGCAAAGTGCGGGAATGGGGTAGCTATAAAATACATTGTAAGATTTGCCAAGCCAACCCTGGCTTTGTCTGTACTTACTTACGTTACACTTGAGTAAACTTCTCTGCTGAACACACATGTCATGAGAGTTTCTCTGAGACGAACAGGGTAAACCTTACACGGTGAGGACAAGGCGAACGGACATCCCTGAACAGTGGGGACAACATTATGGCTGAATCGGCAGCTGGATGTTGGATCTGAGCCACCAAAATCTCTCTGGAGAAAGGAGTGATCGTGAGATTGCCCATATGCACTCCAAACAGCTGCTACTCATGAGTAGACAGCAGGAACCAATGTTTCTGCAGTCGCTTGTGTGTCGAGCATCTGAGAGTCGAGGGATTTCATCAGGCTCATTTCAGACAAGCGTAATGTAGCCTCCAGGGACTTTAAGTTCGACCAATCCTCATTTCTTAACCACTTTTGGAATTACTCTTTTACTGTTTTTTAAATACTGAGAACCTTCAGAATGGCAAGTTTCACAGTATTCACTGGGTGAACCTCTTTCAATCCATAGTGAAAGGATTTTTAAATACAAATTTAAAGACTCAGAAAAAAAATACTTTTGGAGTAAACAGCAAAAAGGTGATTTAGAGTGTTGATTTTGGAAAGTTATAAACAGACTAAGAGTCCAGATAGATGTGAAATAAGATTTTAAAATTAATTATATAAATCCTTCTCGTGGGAAGCTGCTGATGTTTTTAACTCTAAAAATAGAAACATGATAAGATGGGACTTTGAAGTTTGGACACTAGGGGGAACCAGAAGGGACTAAAGATTGCATTTAAAGGAGAACCACCTTAAATTACTTGCCAAGAATGGAACAAAATATTTTAACACCAAATGTATTTAAGGATAGTTGGGAACAATGGTATATGTGTGTGTATGTGTATTTTTTCTGTGTGTGTGTGTGTGTGTATGTGTGTATGCTATATATGTGTGTCTTAGTTTTATCTGTATAATTTTAGTCTCTAATGAAATTATTATTAAAAGGATACTATGATGCCAAAGTTGGAAATAGTAAGGAAGATAACAGAATTGGAGTGTACGGCCAAAGAAACAGAAATGAAGCAGGACAATGACATCCATTTCTGCCAATACAATGATTTCTTCATTGCTAAAACATCAAGCAAAATTATGCCGACGGTATATACATGGTCATCACCAGATGGAGTATGCAGAAATCAAATTGACTATATCACTAATACAAAGAGATGGAAGAGTTTAGTTAAAACGGTAAAGAAATGGCCAGGGGCTGATTGTGGAGCAGACCCCAAACTGATGGAATAGCCACAGAAATAGGGCAAGCAACAGAAAAAGAAACTGCAAAGGTTCTAACCAAGCTACGCCAGCCAATCTGGAGAAAGACACAGTGGCCAACCGATTGGAAAAAGTCTCAATGCCAAAGAAAGGGGAACCCCCAACCCTCACTCAGAAGGAGTCTGGAAGCACGCTGGGCATGCAGTGCATCAGTGGATGCGTGTAGTGGCTAGACTGATGTCAGATTTAAATTGGGGAGGGAGGGGGGAAACAGGTTGATTATAGTAATATAGATAATATGTGAGACCGATTACAAGTACCTTATCAATAATTTCAATGTGTTAAAAAATCGTTGTGATTCAAGGTCCTTGCACAGCTGTCTATTTTGTGTGGAATTACTAGGGCAAAAAGATAAATCGCACACAAAACTTGACTCTTCAGAAGGGCTGGATGTGTGGTGGGATAGGTTCCCAATATTGGGGGGCCCTATGCAGTCCTCCCATCGTGGCAAGTGGCTGCTTGTAAAAGCACGACAAAAGGTTTCAGGCAATCTCAAAAGGTCTCAATCAGTTTTTAACACATATTTTCCAGTCCATGGAAAGGGGGGTATCAGATGTTCAAGCTGGCTTTTGAAAAGGTCAGGAAGCAAGAGACATTATTGCTGATGTATGTTATAGAATAAAGAAAGCCAAAGAATGCCAGAAAGAACTCAACCCATGCTTCCTTGATTATAGAAAAGCTTTTAATTGTGTTGACCATGTCAAGCTGTGGAATGTGTTTAGAGAAATGGGAACCCCAGCTATCTCATTGTCCTCCTGCGAAGGCAGTCCAGGTGGAATATCACAAAACAGACCAGCTCTACATTACAGAAGGAGTGAGACAAAGCTATACATTATTTATGTACTTATTTAAGCTATATGCTGAATATATATTGAAGGAGGCTGGACTGGAAGGAGATGAACATAGTTTTAAAAATGAAGAAAGCAACATTAACAATGCACTTTGATGATTACTCTGACCACTGAAAATGCAAATGATCTGGAAGCTCTAGAAATGGAAGTCAAGTGAAAAAATGGTATTAAGATTAAATGTAAAGAAGATCAAAAGGATATATGTGAAGGAAGTACAGCATTTCCTTGAAATCCTAGAACCTGAGCATGAGGGTCCAGTTGAGAGTCCTTGGGTAAAAATACAAGGAAGGGAAAACGAGAAAGATATTCTTGCAGATGGGGTGGGATGGAGGAGTTGTTATAGACCACAACAAAGACAGAAGATCTGAATTAAGCCCATCTGGACTACATTACAGGAGTTTCAGGGAGCAAACACATAGTAGTAATGGGACACTTTTACCCAGATATCTTTTGGAAAAACAACTTGGCCAAGACTGCAGGATCCCAAAAATCTTTAGGTGATCTTGCTGTTTCATTTTCCAGAATGTTGAACAGTATACAAGGGGATTCACTCTGCTAAATCTGATTCTAACTAATAGGGATGTGCTGGTTGAAGAGGTAAAAGCAGTGGGACTCTTTGGAGGAAATTAACACCTGAGGTTTAAGATACAAGAATAAGAAAACCTGGAGCATAGTCATACCTGCACGCTAGATTTCAGGAGAACCAATTTTAACAAGCTTAAATAAAGATGAAGTAGTATCCCATGGACAAAAAGTCAGCGGAGCACAGGAGGTTGAGAATCTTTTTAAGAAAGATATTGGAAATACCATTGCATATAATTCTAATTTTAAAAGACATAGGGCACTCCAGAAAATTGTGGATGCAGAGGGAGTTTTTCATTAAGATAAGAGTTAAAAAGAACATGGATAAGAAATGGAAGATTTGTGGGTTCATATGTGAGCATTTAGAAATTAAAGCATGACTTTGGAGGAGCCAGCATCAAGAGTAAATCACAGCAAGCCAACCTGATCTCCTTTTTGGATAGAGTGGCCAGCTTAGTAGTTTACTTTTGCTTCAGCAAGTATTCAGCAAAGCCCCTCACGAGATCCTGCTACAGAAGTTGGCAAAATATGGGATGGACTACGCTACTATTAGATGGATATAGGGCTGGTTGAACAATCATACCCAACAAGTGTCTCCATATCAAGCTACAGGGGAGTGTTAGTGGTATATCGTTATGATCACAGTAGGCCCTTTAAAGTTCTATTTATCTATAAGGAGTCTTGGATGAGGGGTTATAAATTTATTGAATGTTATGGATGGCAAAGATTGGGGGATAGTAAACACTTTATAGACAGTACAAATATTTAGTAAGATCTTGACAAGTTGGGCAAGATAAACTTCACCAGAGACAAATTCAAAGTCCTCATTTGGGTAGGAAAAATCAATCAATGGCCCCCGCTTCCATACTTGGCAGGAGAATGTACAAACTTTGGTGGATCACCAGCAGAAAATGAGCCAACCACCCACTGAACGTCTAGCTGTCAGGCCCTTCCCTTCCTTTAATTGTGGATTTCCATGCCAAGAAAGCAGAGCCGAAATTCTCTCCAGACTCCCACCCTTCTGTATAATAGATGCCACCAGTAGCTGCCATCAAAGGGGGACTTGGGGGTGTTTGCAGGGTGTTGCCCGGGCCTCCCTCTTTCCTGATGTGCAACTGCAGACAGAGGGAGGCTGCTCCCCTCAAGCCCAGTTCCCCACCAGCTGCTCTCGCTGCAGGCAGTTCCCCCTTGAGGCTGCATTTTCCAAACAAAGGTTCCACCTTTCTTTGGGAAATCTAATGTCTGTAGCTCTTCCTCTGGAAAGGCCAGGGAACCATCAGTACTCCACAAAAAGGAGGGGGATGATCTGAGCCTGGCTCCAAGGCCTGCCATGCAGGACCAAGAACCCAAAGAACATGGGGGCAAGGAAGAGGCACAAGACCTGGATCCGCTTCCTGATGGAGCTGATGTCTGGGCGTTCACTGCTTCCGCTGTCCAAGTCCCTGGAAAAAACAAGGAAGTCTGAGCCAAGAAACCGATGGCCGGCCAGCCGGCCCAGATGCCTCCAGGCCGAGGGGGAGCAAAGCCTCCTCGCTCCCTTCCTCAGAACTCTCCCAAGCTGCCTAGGAGCGCTCCTAGGTCCCCACAGAGCCTGCAGATGCCCTGCCCGTCTGTACAGACAGCCCAGGGCGGAAAGGGCACTCTAGATTTTCTCCCTGGGATGCAATCTCAGAGCAGGAAGGCCCAGGGAAGAAGCCCGGATGGAGGAAGCGGCCATCTCCACACTGCTTCAGCTGGCCGGTGACTTGGCAGTGGTTTGCACTGGTTTCCCAGGAGATGCCAAGGATTCAACTTGTCGATCTGTGGGCCTTTCCACACTTATGGGATGAAATGCTCTCCACCCATCTTGGGCCAGCAAAAAATTAAACAAGCACAAAATTGACTCTCCCTGATGCCAAAACATGTTCTTGTATGCTGCCCAGAGTCTCTTTAGGCTGATGTAGTATGTAAATACTGTAAATAAATAAATAAAATGCTGCCTCCGTAACCTCTATTCTGGCATGCTGACTTAAGGTCTGCAGGGTGTGTTAAGCAAAACCATTGGTTAAATTCTATGGCTTTACTCTCCTCCCCTTCTCTGAATGTCACCAGCTAGTGGGAAACCATTTGCTCCCCCAAGCATTGCTATGATTGACAGAGGGCTTTGGCAAATGACTAGACCTGTGGGTTTCACCATTTGTCAAAGCATCTGCCTCCCTGCCCCCCCCCCACTCTGCTGTCTCACGGACTACCTTTGATGGCTAATTGCTGCTCTTTCAAAACAGCGCTAAGCCTGGGTCCAAACCAGCCACTGAACAGCTGATGGGAGGTGGGGGAGCCGGGTGGTATGATGGGGGAGCCGGTTCTCCCAGAGAAGCAGGCCTTCGGCTGTACCATGCTGGTCCTTCACCCTCCAATCAGCAGTTGCAGGGCTGCTGGAGCTACCTGTCAAGCATCCATGGGCTCTATGCTGCTCTTGCCCCAGAGGAATAAGCTGCCCGGACCCAGAGGAGTCCTCCACTGCTGGGCCATCCTGATTTCTCGGGCTGAGTCTTGGAAGGAACAGTCAGCAAAACACATCGCAATACGCTCGCCTTGAAACTGCCATTAGCTGCTGCTGGATTAAGGGGAAAGCACTTCTTAGCACCAGTCCAGCTAAGGACAGAGCCAGTTTGGTGCCATGGTTAAGGCACCAGGCTAGAAACCAGGAGACCGTGAGTCAGCTGGGGGACCTTGGGCCAGTCCCTCTCTCAGCCCTGGGAAGAAGAAGGCAAGGACAAACCACTTCTAAAAAGTCTTGCCTAGAAAACTGCAGGGTCTTGTCCAGGCGGTCACCGGGAGTCAAAAACTGCACTGACGGCGCACACACACGCACGCACACACACACACGTACACACCAGCTAAGGATGACTTACTGTACTTCTGTCTTATTCCCAGGCTGAGAATGCAATCAAGGCAATCATGGGCCTGGCAGAATAAAGAGGTTGCCAGGACATGTTGACACCACAGTTAAGTACAAGCAGGGGGAGCCCTGCATCCTTCCGGGTGGATTTGAGTACAAAGCCCATCCCACTGGCTATCCCAATAGGAAAAGGTAGAGGCTTTAGCCCTGCACTTTGGAGGGATCAAGGAAGTAGTGGAAGGTTTTGTTAAAGGCGGGAAGATAAAATTAAGCTTTTTTGTCTGATAGCCTGAAGCAAATAATGGCTATTTATTTCAGAATAAATAAGGAAAGCATGTTGAAAATCTTGCCTGAAACTATTTTTCCAGCAGTTCAGAACTCTTAAGCCTGCAGTTCACTATTTGCTTTGAAGGTTCTGAAGTGCTCAGTGGGAGGGAAAGAGTTAAGAAAATCAGCAATAAACCCCAGTCCAAATCTGAGTCATCTAGAATGCTACCATGTCCCCTAACTGAGGCGCAAAGACACCCTGCTAATCATGCCCCCAAGGGTTGCCTGTCTCTTGCCCAGGCAGCTTATGCTTGTTCCTCTTCCTCCCAAGCAACTTGCCCCACAAACAGTCTGCAGCACCCCACTGATGTCCCTGGTGAAGGGCTGGGATTTGCCCAGCTCCCTTGGTCATTCGAGGGGCTACTGAAACACCACCATCGTTTTGCTGCTGCTCTTACTTGGTGGGGTGCCATGTTGTCAACACCTTCACCATTTTGTGATCTTCATGGGCTGCTTCCTGGCATGGCTGTCCATGCCACTTATTTGCAGTACTTACAGATTTGGGGTGTATGGGAGCTGGGGTGAAATTGAAAAGAGCTTTAGTCCAAGTCCCAGGTGCAATAAGGGGTGTGGGGTATATAGCAGGAGGGAGATCCATCGTGCTTCATCCCACAGCTCTCCTCCACTCCACCAACCTCTCAGCTGGGCCATTTTTGAACATCCAAAGGGTGCTAGATTTGTGTTCAGAAATAGCCTACCAGAAATGATACGTCGCCAGTATCGAGAAACCTCTATGTCACTTGGGCAACTTGAAAGGTGATTCAAGCCCCCATCTCTAGATCCACCCACAGCCGCCCAAGTCACATGTTAAGGACAGTGACTGAGGACTGTTTCTCCCACCAGCAGGTGATTCTCAGTGGGAGGGAAAACACAGCCAGAGCAATCCATCAATTGCTTCCCTTACACGATTCTGTACTGAAACTGTAAGGACAACTGCAGACCTCGCTACTGAAGTTAGGGTCCAGCTTGTAGAGCAGCCCAGTTTAGGTCTGCCAACTCAAGGACTGGAGGAATGGACACATCGATGTGGCTATGAAGAACTTCCCTTGCATTCAGGCAAAATGCTAGTGGACCAAAAGGTCTTACTCACTGGTACAGTTCAGCCAAGAATACATCCAGACTCCGCAACTCCTCAAAGCGTTCTATAAATAGAAGAGAGACAATTGCTTTTAAGGACAGCCGCTGATTTAGCTGATTGTAGGAAAGGTTGTTGCAAAAGCCAACTAGAGCAGCTCCCAGAGACTGAGAGTCACGTTGTCTGATGAGGTGAGCAAGCGTAAGACCTCTGAAATGGGTGCAGCTTCTAGCCAGTGAGAGCAAAGAGATCAGACCATCAGGGTGGAAGGCGGCTTAACCACAGTTGGTGCTCCTTCTGAGTCCCAACAAGAGGCCCCTACAAAAGGTTGTAGGAGACCCTGGGGGCCATCTCTATCCCACAGGTGGACCAAACCTCACCACTCTTCTCAGTCCACACTTGCAGCTCCTTAGCCAGTTCTGGTACCACCAGGAATGTGCGCCATCCTTGCCGCTTCTTAGATTTGAGAATATCCCCAAAGATATGATCGCCGATGTAAAGAATGTCCTTGCCCTTCACGCCCAAGAGGTCACATACCATGTCTGAGGAACCTAGAAAAAGGGGAACCACGTTTCATTCTCAGACATAATAATTATTGGGAGACTTACCTATTAGACACCCTTTCTGAAAGTGGAACTGAGAGGGTGTGAGCCCACTACAGCTTTCCCTATGGGAATTACATGTAAGAAAAAGGTGATCTCTATATATCACTCCAATGGGTCTCTTTAAGGGTCCATCAAACATCCTCACCTGCATATTTTAATAACTGGGGGAGGTTCATAATGATTATGACATGAGCCAATGAGTGCCAGTGTTCACCCCACCAGTAGCTGAAAGTCTCTGTCAGCATCATTTAGCACAGGGCTGGGCTACCCATGACCACAGACAGCTCCAGGGTCATTTCTGCAGCCGCTGGGGATGAGGGAGGCATTTTTAATGATTGGGTGCTGCACTTAACTTGTGATGCACATTTGGGGAAGACGGGGTTGAATTCCTTGGTTTTTAAATTAAGTTAGGCCTATTGTAGGGCTTGCTCTATTGTTCTCATGTTTCCAGCCTCAAAATGGAAAGAAATTAACGCCTCCAATTCTTAGCAATCAATGTTAGAGTAAGCTCTGTCACAAAGAAGAGTGTGGCAGCTACATACAGCCAGGGGCCACTAGTTACCAACCCATGATCAGGGCAGCCAAATATCACATTACCAATTTTCAGGGGTGTGATTTTTTTCCCCTTTTTTGGGGGGCAGAAATAAGGAGCAAAATATTTATGGTCCCTTTGTGAAGCTTGATGTCCCTATTTTGCTCCTTAAGCCCCCAGCAAGGTGGGGAGAGAGATGTGGTTTTCTATTGCAATGCAGAAAGGTTGCCTAGCCTGATTTAGAGGAAGCACAATCCTTTTCAGATCCCCAACCCAGGTTTTCTACTGAAAAATAACAATTCTATACTGTATTATCTGGATAAATTTCCAATTTTCACCTTCAAGCCATGTTCTAATGCGGATCTTTACAGCTACTATTGGCATATTGATGGCAATTCACTCTGCTGTTGGGGATAAGCCTGCCCCACCCTTGAACCTTCAGGAGGATATTTTGTAGCAGATGGGACAGAATCAAGTCCTATGGGACAACTGAGACCTCGAGGACAAAGAGTACAGTGGTATCTCTACTTACAAACGCCCCTACTTACAAAATTTTCGAGATACGATCAGCTCCGGCCCCAAA